AGTTTGAAAGCAATATATCTATTCTTGACCCCTTGACATTGTACCCTTACGTAAGTCACGCAGTGGTCACATAGTTAATTTGAAAAAAAGCGTCACGGTGTTTGGGGCAAAAGATACTCAGGAGGCTAATTTGTTTATGTCCTCAAGGATTTGGCGAGAAGAGTTAAGAGAGAACCGCATACAAAAGAGAAACACATGAACGTTTCTCCTCATATAGAAATTGCAACTGCTTGTGCTCGCGTGCGTTTTATTTTCTTTTATATCAATGAAGTACGCTTTTATGATGATTAAACCAAAAAAATGTACGTGCAGAACAAAGTGTAATCATGCGATTGTCAGAGCCTGAGTGCGTTGCAGCACTGCATTGCTTCGCCCCTCGGATTTCTGACTTTTTCCACCTATGCATTCTTCAAAAGCTCTAGTAAACATCGGCGTCGATTAACCCCTCTGCGTTGGCTAAACGCTGGGGAGAACCAATGGGCTTTGCTATTGGTCCAAGTCGACATCACAGAGGAAAGAGGGAAGACGTAGGAGCGGGCTAAAATTGGGTCCATCTTTAAGTGGCCAGCATTCCCACACTTCGGGTATGCTCTAAGACTAGAGCCTCCTCAGAATAAAGTCCTCATTCGCTCTAGGTCTAAGTGTTCTGCTCTGCACGTAGCTGAACGTAGCCAAGAAGATTGCGTTGAACTCTAGAGGGTAATATTTTGACTCTTAATGTACGCAAAGTGGTAGAATTGTTTGGCCTCACAGTGCTATCGTATGATGGTCTGTATTCCTCTGGAGTATCTGCACTTGCTCTATCAGACGGAGCATTTCCAAATTGTCTACACTCCAGGCTAGGTGAACTCTCTTATATTTTCTGTGCATCTTAGGAGTTTGTTAACTCATTAGGGGCTGAAATAACATCATCATCATACTCTGAGAAAACATTACATTGCGACGACATTGTACATTGTCAGCCCCGACAAGGAAAACTTTTCCTCCATTCTCCTGACTGTAAAAACTGTATAAGGGGACTTCTTTGACATTGTCTTTTCTTCCTCCTGTCGCCTTAACTCCTTATCATCTTCTTGGGTCTTGCTTTCATATGAATTTCTCCTGCGGTCTGCATACACCTTCCCTTTTCCTTTCCTTTCACTGTCGCAATCTTGGACTTCATTTTCAATGCTTAACTCTTAAAGGTGGGTTAGTTTGGTCCTGATGCGTCATCCACAAAATAATTCGGCAAGGCTAACCCAAGTTATTGAATGTGGTGTACTGCGACTTATTAATTTGGAGATGTCGATCTCTGCTTTTCAGCTGCAACCCTCGGCTTCGGGAATACGTAGGTGCCTCATTTCGATACTGCGATTTTGCCTTTCAATTTCTCTTTAGGCCTGTGGCTATGAAAGTAAGGTTTTCCTATGTTCAATTCCGTTCCCCTCCAAATACTTCTTGAAAGGCCACTTACAAATTGTTTCCCATTTTTGGTCCTAAGAGAAAAAAGAAAGCCATGTGTAATTTGAATATTCCACAGACCTCTTTTCAGAGGTGGTATGTTGTCGGAGAGGTGCAGATATTGTTGTCAGGAAAAAAATATTCAGTGATATTGACCAGTCCAATAATACTCCTCACTTTAGCAGCATTCTTCGGTTCACGAACATCATTAACAGTCTTAACTTTAACATCTGGTGTACCAATTCGACGGGCAGAGAGAGAACGACTTAAGAACCCAAACTCTGACATCTTTAATTGACACTTGCCGCACTTCAGAGTCATCCCCAGGCTGCTCAATAATCTGATTACGTTCTCAAATCTTCTGTCATGTTCCTCCTCAACGAGAGCATGTACTATCATACCATCAGAAATGTTATAGGCGCCATCCTTTTTAGTAGGGCTTCTCAGTGGTGGAGTACCTTCTGCTATTCTCAGGCACACAATTTAGACTGAATCTGGGTCGTTTGTATACGCGGCATCCATTATGTGTGCCAAATGTGTTGCTCGGAGGTGAATATAGCCAAAAATATTCTGAGTTGAGTAGGCAATCAGAGTGCGCCCTCAACGCTATCCACCTTTTTACTGCATACTAATCGCTGTTCATGGCAAGCCTCTTATTTTCGAAGAAATTTCGTTATCACTAGAAACACTAGAACCGCCTAAAACGCCAAACGCATCATCATAATCATCATTCAACTTAGCTTCAACGTACACCTACCTTACATGGTGAGCTGAACCACTCTTTCCTACAGAGTTTTATCCACGCGGTCCTCCAGCGCCGCGACCACTCTTTTACTTCTTCTTAGCCTCCTTAGTTTTACACACGACCTCAAGCTGTCCAGTACCATTACACTTTCTGCATTGACTTTATGCCGCACATTTCTTGCTCTAGCATCCCTATGGAATCCGTCTCCCTACTCATTATTATTTACCTCACCACAGACTTCGCCACTTTATGCTACATTTGAATGCGCCTTTTTCTCAGATTCCTTCACACAAAACGTAATGTCTCGCCAATGTTCTTTGGCGGAGTTCATACGACAAACACTTTTGTCCACAAATTTGCTCATCCACAGCGGTAGTGTCTCCAAATTCAATTGTTTGGTCTTAACCTGATCATAAACTGTTCGACGGTTTCGATTCGTTAGCCAGACAGTTGACTTTTGGCTTGTATCACGAAAAGAATGCTTTTCATAAGATCATTCGCTTCAGAAGTGGCTTATTCTCCAACGTCGTTCAACGTGAAATAAGGATCTTGAGCGTTCAATCTGACAGTCTGCGCCAACAAAGCTCGGTTCTGGTTGGCAATTTTGATCCTTTTCCTATCGCGAGCAGTTTAATAGTTCGCCGCCATCCTTCCCAGCGGGCTGAAATACCATCTGTTTCTGAATAATCGAGGAGAATCGCCGAAATATGTACGTAATATCTCGAATAAAACGTCGCGAACGACCGTCTACTTCGCCGAAATGTAGAGTACGTAATTGCATAACAGAAATCATCGCAAGCTATTGCATAACACAAGTCATCCATCAAAGCGCACGCTGCGATAGATAAGACACAAATCTGGGGGGAAGGGAGGGTAGGACTTAAACGGTCACAAGTACAACAAAGAGTGCCAGTCAAGGTGAACTACGATTGCAAGTTTGAGAAAGAACATGGCTTTCTGGTGTCTACCATTGGACTACTTTGCGAGATACATCTAGAAGTGATCTGCTGCAGGGTGGGGAGGGTTGGACTTACACGGTGACAAATTCAACAAGAAGTACCTCTCAAAGCGAGGTACAATGGCAAGTTTTGGAAACGATGGGGCTTTCAGCAGTCCAGTCCAGGACGACGTTGCAAGATATATCTGAAAGTGGTCTGGTGTGTGCTAAAGGGCTACAAAATTTTTGAAGTACATTCCCACCCAACAGTTTATCGAGTGTGAACACAATTCCCATCGGCATATGAGATCAGGTTACAGGTTTATTAAGTTGATGTAGTTTACAAGCATCCGTTTCATTTCGTTTGCAAAGTAATATATATATAGTTGTTGCGTGGCTTGAAAGAGATCATTTACAGCTCATGAAAAGAATGTGTGTTGATGGAAATGGACTTAACCGCTTGTTCTATTACTGCTTTTTGGTATATCAATTATGTAGTGGCTATTGTAATAGTACTCTAAGAAAGCGTCCTCTCTGAAATATTGCTACTGTACTAAATAAGAAAATACGAAAAACAAAACTTCCAGTCGACAGATTCTTGTAGAGGGAGACTCTGTTTCGTTGACTATTTTAACTTAAATTTTTACTTCTTCGCGTCTCCTCGCGTCTGCTCGCGTCTCCTCGCTTGCACGTGCAACCCACATGTTTGAGGTTCGTTATGATTTTGCACACCCCCTCGTCCAGGGTAACTAACTTACGCACATATTGTTGCATGAAACTCCAGGGAAATAGTGCAATTTTTCCCTAAATCCTCTTTTTTCAAAGTTATGGTGAGTGTTTATGTTTGAGCATGTGAAGTAACGTATAGGTAAAATTACTTATCACAGACCGCAAAATAAAACTCTCTCGCGTCTCTGCTTAGCTCATCAAATATCATCTGTGCTCAAACCCGCCTCAGAAAGACTGCTTCCCTCTCACTGAAGGAGCATAAGTTTATCTCGTTGATGATGTTTTCCTCCTCCAGTCTTTCTGGCCTGTAACACAATTTTTGTTACCAAAGCTAAAAGAAGCGAATATAGATGAACTTCCTGTCACACTCATTCTGATATCGCACGTATTAATTTCCTGTCGCAGTTATTTGTCATAAATACACGACGTTCTGGCATAGCAACAACGGAAATTCTATATAACATCTGTACCGGTCGAAACAATGGACGAAAATCTTTTTTCTCCCTTTTTTCATCTCAGGCTTTAAATTTAACAAAAAAATTATCAATTAAAGGTTTCTTATCGTTCACATCGAGAATGGGGCTTTCAGTCTCAAACCTTTGGTGTGAAACGTGATTCGTGATGTGCCGGCAGGTAAGACGTGACTTGCGATCCATTACTAATTGTTATTCGCGACCGCCGAGATGTTTTGACTGCCCTCAAACAAAGGATTAGTCTGAAAGGTGACGGGTGATTTAATGCAAGTGAATAAACAGCCGGCTATCAGTGTGTCTCAGATAATTTATTTCTCCATGTTTGGTGGTGTTTCGATTTTGAATGGTATACGAATGTAAGGATTCGAATATCACAAGAGGTAGAGATCGAAATCTTTGCGACTGTCAGCTCTAAACGAAAATCTTACGCGTGAAAATAGTACATGCTCTTCTCGCGTTCTCGCCGCTGAAGGCGGTCACGAAATACGAAAATTTACATCTTTCAAACTTTGTCCGTTGCTGAAGTGCATTCGAAAACAAAATTATGCCAAACATGGGCACAATAAAATTTTACGAAGTAAGTATATATAAATAACCCGCCATCTGAGTTCATTCATAACTGAACTGCTCCCGCAGTCCACAGCTATTTCTTCTCGCCTAACTTCCAAGTCTCATCATGGCCAGTATAAAGAAGCAGCCCGACCAAAAGCAGGAGTCAAACGAACCAAGGTTAGTGCGGATTTGTGTGTTGATTATTTCTGATACAATGTTTAGAAAAGTTACCCTTACTCAAAGTGGCAAATATTTTGTCACAGTTCCTGCTTTAGACGGGTAGTAACATTTAAAATAGAAAAACATCAAAACACAAGAACAATATTAGGAAATATGCTTTCTCAATTCGAGTTATCCCGCTCTAATACTCTAAAACCCTTAAAACTAAGCATATTCTGCGGACGTTTGAAACTTTCGTGAGCCCTAAGGGCAAATATACTTCGTCAATTCAGAAACTTTGTCAGAAACTCTAAGCACGTCTGACCATTCTAAAGGAAATTCAATAGCGAACAGGGAAAAACAAAGCGACTCCTGCTATGTGCGTTCTCTAATTCGTCAGAGCTCTTTGGCGAGAAAGGATAAGAAAGGAGGAAAGCGTCCGAATTAATCTGCATTGTGAGGTATTAGTGGAATTCCGAGTAGTTCGGGGTACGAAACCACAACGGTGAGGTTAGGATATGTTTGGCTGAGACCGAAGCTTCGTTTTCCCAATAATGGGAAAGGAGAAGTATTGACCCGTCAGCCTCTCTGAAAGCCTGTATTTGTACGATCTATTGACCATGCTTTTAAAATGCTTTCAAATTTGTACTTGTCAGATTGAAGGATACTGAAATATGATAGATGCATTTTTTTTCCTTTTGAGGAGAAAATTTATAATTATTTTTGACATAAAATCGGAAAACGTTGAGGTGAAGAAATTTTATTTCCGTTTAGTCATTCGGTTTTGAATTGCCTTTACCTCTCGGAGAAGCGCTTACCTTTAAGTGTTTCAGGTGTTAGAAAACGAGTACGCAGAAAAACCTCCTTAGTTCATGCAATTTGTCATGATAGTCACTTCGTTTTGGTTCTGATATAATACAGCCGTCTTCATCTTCCAGAAATATCGGCGTCGTTTTCGATAGTACTATGTCAATGCTCCCTCATGTCAAATCTGTCTGTAAATCTGCCTTCTATCATCTTCGGAACATTTCCCGTATAAGGAAATTACTATCCATTAAGACCACTGAGACTCTAGTCCACGCCTTTGTAACCTCCAAGTTGGATCACTGTAACTCTCTTTTATACGGTGTCCCCAAATACGCTATCCAAAAGCTCCAATCAGTGCAGAATGCAGCGGCTCGACTTATTACCAGCTCTCGTAAATTCGACCGCATCACCCCTGTTTTGTTCGACCTACACTGGCTTCCAATTTCTGAGCGAATTAAATTCAAAATAATTCTGCTCACCCATAAAAACTCTTCACCAGCAGTCTCTTGTCTACATTCAAGACCTAATACGCCGTTATTCAACTTCAAGAACGCTCCGTTCGTCTTCAACATTGCGTCTGACTCCTGTCAACTTTAATCTCAAGTCCTATGGCTATAGAGCTTTTGCTGTTTCGGCTCCTGAACTGTGGAATAAACTACCTGATGACATTCGTTCTTGTGACAATTTAAATATTTTTAAACGTAAACTTAAGACTCATCTTTTTAAAAATTACTTTAATGTATGATCTCTTTTCTTATCCATGTCAAACGCCTATAAATTAGACATCAGTTAACTTAAGACTTACTTTTAATATTATTTTAACGTGTGATATTTTAATATTTTTGTAAAGCGCTTAGAACAGGACTGGATAAGCGCTATATAAGTAGTTTTATTATTATTATTTATTATAGTAATAAGACAAATATTTAAAGCGTTATTTAAGGCGTCATTTTTCACTAGTAAGCAGAGCGCCCGATTGAAAGCAAACAAGACTGGGTCTTCAGAATGAAATAAAAAATTATAAATTTGTCATGAAGATGGTAATGAACGCGATGATAAGAATGATGACGATAATAACACCACCTCCATCATTATAATGATTAGTATCATCATCATCATTCTTATTACTACTCACGTTCTTATGGGTGTTTCTATTTTAATACCATTCTTATTCGTTTTATTTATGTTATTTGAATCATTTCTTTGTCTAATTGATACGATCACTTTTACAGTTGTTGCTGTCCACGCCGACTCAATCCATGTTTATTGTGGTCATCAATATGCAGCTGGTATTTGCGTTTTCTAAGACATTTCTTTGGCTGGTTTGGGGAAAAGATTGCTAGGCATCCGCTGATAACAATTCAGATATGTCTTCTGTTTGTCAGTGTTTGTTCTGTGGGGTTTGTTTGGTTCCGGTCAGAAACAAGAACTGACAAACTTTTCGTACCTCAAAGCAGCAAGGCTGTAAAGGACTTGGAGACTGCCGAAAAATACTTCCGAATCAAGTTTCGAGAAGAAATCGTCCTTTTGGTGGCAGCGCCTGGTCATCCCAATGTTCTCTCTCCTGAGTGTCTGAGACAGGCTTTCCGTGCCCACAAGGCAGTTATGACCTTAGAATCTTATACCGACTTCTGTGTTACACTGTTGGGGAACAAATCCAGATCACCAGAAGACTGTGTGATGATCAACCCGCTGGAATTTCTGCAGTTTAATGAGAGTTACCTGATCAACAAAGACATTAGCCAAATTCAACATGAACTAAGCAAAGCCTTAAAGAACACAAGCTTCATCATGCGAAACGGACGCCCCTTCTGGCTGAACTTGAACCGAATATTTGGCAAAATCACCCGAAAGCAAGAGAACATAACTGGTGCGAAAGCATTGCAAATAGTTTATCACATTCGCGATCCGTCCGATGAAGACGCCCGCGAAAGGGTCCTCAACTGGGAGAAGAAGTTTATCGATAAGATGGCTTCTGTGGTGGACAAACTTCCCTGCTTTGAAGTCCACTACTCGAGTGAGAGGAGCCTGGATGACGCTGTCGCTGAGAGCAGTGGGTCTGACGTCAAACTGGTGTCAATCACTTACACTCTCATGATCTCCTTTGCTTGCATCATGCTGGGAAAGTTTAAAAATCCGCTGACCGGCCATTCCCTGCTCGCTAACGCAGGAGTGTTCGCAGTGGCTCTGGGGATTCTAGCTGGACTCGGCCTCGGTATGTGGTTTCGAGTGCCATTTGTCAGTATCGTGGGAGTGCTTCCGTTCCTTGTCCTTGGAATCGGCCTCGATGGCATATTCATCTTAGTGGATGAACTTGACCGACAGCCGTGTGACCTTTCGACAACGGAAAAGATCAAAGCAGTCATGAGGCATACAGGTGCGACTGTTACTATGACAACTATGACGGATTTAGTGGCATTTGCAGTCAGCACATCCACCTCATTCCCAGCCATTAGGTAAGGAAGTTGAATTGATTGCCGACTAAGTCTACTCTTTCAGGTAGCAATTATGAAGAAATTTTACTGATTCCTTGTGGTTCTGTTTGAATAACTAATCTAAGGAAAATATTTATAATGCAACGCGGTAAAATAATTTTATGAGGGTGTTCACAAATCTCGGTACACTTTGAATAAAAGACATCGCGTCACGAAGGATAAAAAGGATTGCCATTTCAGGCCTTTTTACAATTTCCGTGGCTTGGCCGAAGTGTCTTTCAGTCTTTTCAATTTGACTGGTTACTTTAAAGAAGCCTTGAAATCTGATTGGTTGTTGCGTTTTATGAAGCTTTCTCACTGCCTCAGAAAAAGTTGTGATTAAGGGAAAACACTGGTGCGATCACCAGTGACGCGATAAAGAGTTAAGTGTTTCGAATTCAAACTACGTGTGCATCGATGTTAATTGTACTATGCAAGCCAACATGCTCTTTTTGCTATTTACTACACAAGGCACGCATGGGTTTCAATTTTGCAAAACACTTACGTAGATAGAGTAACATAGTGATCACTGATCGATGCTTAACTCATCCTATTGTAGGTATTTCTGCATCTACGCAGCCCTGACAGTAACGTCATCATTCCTAATGGTTGTCACCTTCTTTGTGGCCGTCATGACCTATGACATAAGAAGAATTAAATCCAGTCGCAGAGATTGCCTCCCATGCTGCCTGGCGCCGCGACCCAAAGATGGAAAGCCAGCCTGGGACGAGCCCATCACACAGACGTCAAATCGAGTCATGAAGACTTGGGGAAAATTCTTGACGTTTCCAGCAACAAAATGCTCGGTGATATTCATCTCGCTGCTGCTGCTTGGAGCTGGAATTTACGGAGTCACTCAAGTGGACGAGGCGTTTAACAGAAGAATCCTAGCAAAGGATGATTCTTACTTGAAACAGTTTTTGACCGCTCAAGAAAAACAGTTTGACCTTTCTATTCCAGTGAGCATCGTGGAGACTGGCGCGTTAGATTATGAGAAATATACAACCCAGCAACAGATCAGAGCATTGACAAACATCGTGACGGAAAACAAATACTACAGAGACCGCTCGTTATCCTGGATGGACACGTTCTCTCGTTACGCTGAGCAAACTAATAAGAGCATCACTGGTCCTTACTTTTTGCCTGCCTTGAGAGAATTCCTTCGTATTCCAGCCTTTTCCCATTTCAGTCAAGATTTGAAGTTTACCACGGATGGCAACAGACTGGAAGCCTCTCGCATCTTTGGATTTATGAAGAGTACCAGCACCTCCACCATCCAGAAAAACGCCATGCTCACACTTCGTGAAGATATCGCAGAAAAGTCGGAACTTGATGCCTTTCCAATCAATCGACTCTTCATATACTTCGAGCAGTACGCCATTACTTCCAGGGAAACCGTAAGAAATCTCATTATCGCAGCCATAGCGGTACTGCTTGTTACAAGCCCCTTTTTAGTGGACTGCACAGTTACGTTCATTGTAGTGCTGAACTTTGCGGCCCTGATATGCGAGTTATTCGGACTGATGGTCATCTGGAATGTTTCCCTCAATTCTGTTTCTATGGTTAACCTCGTTATGGCCATTGGATTTGCAGTCGATTACAGTGCACATATCGCGCATGCGTACATAGCGTCAAACGAAGCAACAGTCAATGGACGAGTGGTAGATGCCTTGAGTACATTAGGAGCAAGTGTATTCATGGGAGGTTAGTCACGTGTACATTTAAGTTTATTTTTCGTCTTTAATTCGCACACTTTAAACTCACTTCTGCAGTCGAACGCAATGAAGGAAAACTACAGATTCTACTTCATTTGGACGTAAACTTGTCGTGACTGTTATTTTCTTTCTGTGTGGTTCAACACAAGGATTTATTCAATTACACTCTGAATTTTCTTTAGAATCGAGTTACTTCCACATTGTAAAAACAAGGTGACCATTTTGCCAGCGCTCTAGCATTGTTTAATTTGGTTTCCTTCTTTTATTTATTTGTTTCTTAGGGTTCAGTACTTTCCTTGGCATGGTCGTTCTTGCATTTGCCGCATCACAGATCTTCCGTATATTCTTTAAAATGTTCTTCGGCATCGTCGTGCTCGGTCTCCTCCACGGCTTGTGTATTCTACCTGTTCATCTGTCCTTGCTTTGCTGGAGACCAGCTGTTGGGATCAGACCCCCCTCACATGAGGACACTTCCAAGAAACAAGGCAATGAATACAGCCGAGTTGATACACTCTACGCCCCTGAATCTTTGAAGGATGAATGTGACAGGGAAACAAACGTCTAAAAGAGGTGCCTTGCAGGTTTTATGCTGTTTGAGCAGAGGTGCCTTGCATTTTACTAGCAGTCCAGTAAAATTGCTGTTTTAGCTAACTAAGCCAACTAAATGACTTTTAACCTCGAAAAGACAAGATTTTAATCGATACAACAACGTGAATTATCGCCAATAAGCTACTCACACGTCACTCGTGACAACGCTTCGTTAGCGCTAAGCAACTGCAAAGCTTGTCTGATTGTCATAAAACCTTATCCAACGTAAACGCCTATCAAAAATTAATATTTGTCAAATGGAACCAACAAGCAACCAACGTGGGAAGAAGCGTGTGGAAATTAAGCGATTGATTGCAGGTTTTTGTTGGAAATAGGATTTATGGACTGACCAATTTAGTTGTGCACCAATCCCTTGAAAATCGTTAGTCCACAAGTCCCAGTACTAAACGTGTAATACTAATGCTGGACTATTGTAAAATACATTTTCACGGAACACATCCTGAGAAATGCGAAGGTGATGATTTATGGAAAAAGAGAAGGTTTCAAAATTTGAAAGGTATTCAAAAGTTTAGGGAAGGAATTTTAAATCATATTATTCTTGATGAATACTCAAAATATCTTTTATTTGTTTGAAGAAATTAGCCCATTTAAAAAGTGGAGCAAATTTCGACTGAATATTTCAACTTTTTTTTGAAAATTTTGAGTAGTACACAAATAGTTGGGATCAGTCCTGTCATAAATTTAGTGTTTTCTTCCACATTGTTAAGAAATTAATGTAGGGCATCTGTTCATTAATCAAAGAGAGTTTTCTTAAGTATTGGTGTGTAATTTGTATTGTGGTGGAAGCCCAAGAAAGTTAAAAGCAAAATCGCACTGAGTACATCTCTTATCTCATGTGACTAAGTGCTATGAGAAATATTTCATATGTGATAAATATTTTTATCATATCAACTACGGTGTTATACAAGGATTTCCAGCCCTGAGAAAAACCGTAAACACACTTAAAAAAATATCCAATCTTTTTCACGTGTGTTTGATATCGCCAATAAGCTGCTCACACGTCATTCGCCTTTCGCGCTGCTCGGTCAGGTTGATGAATGAACAGCGAAGCCTTCACTATTCTCAATCCAAGGTCGTTTGTCGGAATTTTTCAGGATTAGAGCTACTAAAACACTGAAAAATCTGTGTTGCTACAGACAGTGACGTTCAGACTTTCGTAGAAGGAGAAGAAAACAAAAATACGGAAAGAAAAACCAAAAGTTACGTATTCAGTGGCTTTGGTAATGGCATTTCTCGCGGCTGGGAACGAAAATCGACGACTGGAAGATTTGCCACAAGCCGATTTTGGTCGTGTGCCTGAATGATTTCCTATCTGGGTAAGGACCAAGTCAATAACTGAGAATTTTGTATTTTGAAAATTATGTCTATTGTTTATTTTTGTGTTGTTTCAACGCATTTTTTCATTTTGAGCCTTAGCACCAACGCACTTTACAATTTTTATTCGGGGATTGTCAATTCTTTTATTTTCATTCATTAATTAAGTTGACTTTTTTCATCTCACTCGTTAGTTGCGCTCACTCGTGACCTGGCGAGTTAAACACTCGAAGAGAAATTCCATATCTACGCGCGCCCACGTATTATTCTCTATTTATCATACAAACTGCATTGTTATTCAAGGATTTCCTGCCCTGAAAAAAGCCGTAACGACACGTGAAAAGATATGATAATTTTTCACATGTGTTTAATATCGCCAATCAGTTACTGAAACGTCACGCGCCTTTCGCGCCACTCTTACATGTTGATGAGCGAATGGAAAAACCCTCACCATTCTCAATCCAAGGTCGTTTGTCGAAATTTTCTCGGATTATGGGTGCTAAAACACTCGAAGGTTTATATTACTGCAGGCAGGCAGTGACTTTTAAAATTGCCTAGAAGGGGGAAAAATACCGAAAGTTACCTACTCAGTGGCTTTGGTAATTGCATTTTCCGTGGCTCAGAGCGAAAATCGACAAGTGGAAGATTTGCCACAAGCCGAGTTTGGCTGTGTACCTGAATAAATTTCGGTAGTCGGCAAGGAAAATTCAATAACTGAGAATTTTGTAAAGTTGTAAAGTTTTGTAAAGTTTTGAAAGTTACGCCCATCGTTTGTTTTTTTAATGATTCAACGCATTTTTCTTCATGAGCCCTATCGCCAACGCACTTTTCGTTGTCCGCAAAGGGCAATTGTATTTATAAACAAAAGAATACATGGTTGCTTGTAGATATGAAATTTCTTTTCTCGTGTTCAACTCGACATCTCACTCGTTCGCTGCGCTCACGAGTGAGCTATCGAGTTAAACACTCGAAGAGAAATTCCATATCTACGCGCGCTCACGTATCATTCTTCAATATATGAAACATACCGATGGCACGCGCGCGATTTTCTGCTAAACTGCTAACACTAGAATCGATTTTCATCACACTAGGGTCGTGGGTAACACTAGAATATACACAAAGACGCGAAATCGACGCATTCTACCACCACGTCAAAAAGAGGTGTGTATATACAAGCAGTCAAACCTGTATATGACAATTTACCTCGGGAATTGGTTTCGGGACCTTTATTTACAGGTTTCCGTGAACTCTAATGAAATTCAAACGTTTTGATGCGAGAATAACCACTCAATTTATTTTTTTTAACAATAACAATTACGAGCAACGTAAGAAATACGGGGCAGAAGCCACAAAATATTTCATTTCACTGTAAACTCAATTAACCGCTAAGTTTTTAGGAAAAGCGTTTCTTTAACCCTTTGCTTAACAGTAAAGACAAATAAAGATAAGTTATGTTTTTCTGAGATTTCAGAGCGCGAAGCTTGATCCTATACAGGATGTCCCTCAATTTTTTCAATGTAAATTACAGTTGTTCTATTTCAGAAAATACGGGTGCTACTGCAGTATGGAGACAAAAAAAAAAAGCTTGAAAGAGATTTTGAACCTCTCCTGCAATTCTATTACTGTACTTCCCAAGCACGTTCTGGAGATAGGCGATGCCATATAGTATTTGTAGTTGTGTCCATTGATACCCCTGCCCCGATAGCTACAATGTTGACAACAATTCGCTTATGGTAATCCAGTTCAGTGACCGTTATATACAGGTGCATAATAATGGACTTGTGGATTCAGAAAATGTAAAGGTGACCGTGTCTGCAACATTCAAGTGACCGTTATATACATGTCAACCCTATAGTAAATAAAATGGAAAAATTATCAGGTGGTTTTCTTGTAAATGCCCTATATTTGGCCGTTGTATACAGGGGTGACTTTATATCTGTATCTAGAAATTTGAGAAGGCTAACTGAATTAAGGAACATATTCCCCCAAAAATCAACTGTTAAAGATTTGCAGTCCAAACCTCAGCATATGAATTCCTTTATAAGTTGAAAAGTACCTTCATCGCTTTAGAACGGGTGGTTTGAGGGTTTTTATCCATACCTGCGCGTAAATTTCGCTCAGCCAACCCTTCTGTCTAAAGGGGTAAGTTTCTAAAGAAACTGTGGTGCTGCGTCGGTGGGAGAGTATAGCAGGTAATTTAGTGTTAACAACTGGGTCGAAAACGTAAATTAGCCACCGTAAAGAGTAAAAAAGCTGACGTTTCAAGCGTTAGCCCTTCGTCAGAGCGATGGACGAAGGGCTAACGCTCGAAACGTCAGCTTTTTTACCCTTTACGGTGGCTAATTTACGTTTTCAACCCAGTTGTCAACCCTTCTGTCGTCTGGCTTAAAATAGAAAGTTGCTACACAAGCTTGTTAATGGAGTGATTCTGTTTACTTAAAATTGCCTCAGTCACAAGTGCCGCCTGATATCTCAAAGAATAGGGAGTGGCACTTGGACATGCGTAATAATAAGATATCAAATCTAACTTGAAAACCGATTTGTTCCTTTCTTTTCAGCATGGTTCTTAAGTGAAGGCAGGAAATAAAAAGTAAACACTATCATTAAATTATGAACGTCGACTGACCTTGATACTTCAAATAAGCAAATTAATTCTGGGTTTTTTTTACACGACCGCTGAATACCATTACTATGGTTCTAAACAGTCATTAGCTTCACAGCGAACACAGCCTCTAAAATGTCGTAAAACGCTTTCAAATCGGAATAATTCGACAAAATTCTATGGAATAAGTCCTTGGTTTCCTACGTTCGTAACCTTCAATTTTTCGCTTTCGCCAAGTTTACTTCAAGGCATTGGAGAAGATCCTTCCTGGCTGCACCACGTAAGGTTCTGAAATTAAAGTTGATTTCATTTTAAGAAAAATTTGGTTCGATCATGAGTTTAAGAATAGAAAAAAAAAACAACAACGATTTTTTCTCGGTCATAAACATGTTTGTCTTACAGGAGCTAAGTGTGACGGTGAATGTCAAATGTCTCCCTAAAAAGAAAAGAAAACAAACGTGAAAGGAATCAGACCTAATCTTTTATTCCAAAGGATTAGGTAACAGACGAGATACGTTTAGCCTGAGGGAATCTAACTTCCACTTGGGCTATATTTTACCGATTAGTTCATTGAGGCAAAATACGAGATGAAGGTGACACGTCCAGATTCCGAGCGTTACTTCGAAGGGATAAGACCTGAATGGGCTGGGATTCAGTTTTCATTGCTTGATCCTCTCTTTACAAGGAAGCATGTGTCGTATCTTTTGAAATTTGTCCCAAGCGGAATATTTAGTCTTAGACAAAAATATTGACAACGTAACCTAAAGTAAAGAGTATCGTTACCCTTTCAGATCCATGATCTTTTTTAGTTTCCTCGTTTTGAATCGCTTCTCTTTCGCCAGGTTTTGATCTCAACTCAAGTTTGTGGAAATCTTCTCGGAAAAATAGGTCTCTGTAACGCGGCATTTTGTTGCCTAATACAACAGAAAGAAGTTGAGAATGGGATTTAAACAGGATACTTTTATCCGTCTTATCATATTCTTTATCGTGGCAGATCTCTGGAAATTTTAATTCGTTGATTGGAAAGAAAGAAACCCTGAGAAACCATAGGCAAAATATCTAATTCATGGATTAGTTTTGTAAAACCTTCTTTTACGGTACTTTTTGATCGTAAGTTGTTAAACCAAAACCATAAACTGTGGTTGAAATGGCCAACCATGAAAAAATGAAAAAAAATTAGAGGCGTGGGAAAAGCTAGTGAAAAAGTCAATTTCGTTGCCAAAGTGGATTTTTAGAGGAGCAGTGAAACAAACGAAATTCCTGCATGAATTTGGACACTGATCATATTTGAAAGAAAAAAAATAAATCATGCTCCTTTAATTAAAGGTCCAGGCGTTTCTTTTTAGATTACCTCTCTTTGAGTGAAGGAACACGCCTACATGTACACCGTCGGAAAGTTTCTCCACAGCACGTATTTGGGTAAACATTCTTGGAAGTGTGGGCAATTCTGGTAGCAACATGTGGCAGTCGATGGCCGGGGCAGTTGCTAAGATACTGCCTGTTACTTGCGCTCGAGGTAACTCACTAAGGGAGTAATGATCACCTTGACAAACGAGTACTGTGCTACATTTATCTACTAACTGACTCCAGACTTCCTCGATGCCATATGTTGTGGGATTACGTGGCAAAAATCTATTCTTCTGACATTTTAGAAATGAGAGAGGACCTCGAACCTATTGAAGATAAAGCATGCAAAAATGCTGTCTAAGTTATTTTCCTTTTGTAAGCATGTCTCCAATTTATGGCTTGGTACTCTTCTCCTTGTGCTAATGGCATTTGCACAGCTTGCCCCTGAATAACTTACTTTGGGGATATTCCTTATTCAGTGAGAGTACCTCTTACCTCAGCAGGCTGCCATTCTTGGTACTCCTTATTGAAAATAGTTTGATTCTTCAGGAGAGCTTCTCTTAGAGTCTTTAAAATGTAGGAAGTAAGACCATTAGTATAGCTTATTATGTAATTTATCGATGATCCAGTCTTGATAGTGTATCTCTCTCATTTGTCTACTACTGCAAGTTTTTCCAAATAGCCTTTAAATTGGAGCTAAATAGAGATCAACAACATCTGTTAATGTCCAACAAAGCCACTTAATAGCTTTAGGCCGATTGAAATTTATGGTTATCAAGTCGGTCCACTTATGGGGAGACATTTGACATTCACCGTCACACTTAGCTCCCGTAAGACAAACATATTTATGACCGAGAAAGATTCACTTATCTCCGCGATATCGAAATCCACGTGATAAAAATCATGATTACATAATAATCACTCTAAACATTAAGTCACCAGATGAGGCGAAAGTAATGAGAACTATGTAGGAGATAGTTCTTTGAAGGTGTCTGTGAACGAGAGGTTTACTTATTTCAAAGACAATAGCTCAACATAATATGATTTAAAGTAATTTTGAGCTATTGTACGTACCTGAACGTGTCGCGATGTCAGTCGTCCGTCTTTCGTAATGGAAAATAACCTAATGGTTATTTTCTGTGAACGCGATGACCAGGGAAGTGTGTCAATCACAGGATACTCCACACTCTGGAACCTTCCATATGAATATTCTCCGAGAAAATACGATCCATGGCGCTGTTCTTTGACGATCAGCTGAACGTACGGAGCAGCAGGGTTACGCACTTCACCCCAATTCTCACTGCTGCCTGTCGTTAAAAGGCGGGGACTTAAGGATCCAACCTAAATTACAAAAACCTAAGGCAAGGTAAACTCATTTTATCTTCTACAGTTTGACTCGAATTTACGAGTCTTTTGTAGTTACCTGTGTTTTTGGAAGAGTGGGAGGACTTGAAAGCTTCACATTACCCAGATCCAAGCTAAGGATATGAACAAATTTGTCATTTACCATTGCAAAGGCCATCTCCCGGTAAGCAACCCCAGACATAACGGCACCTCCCTCGATTAGGTCGTGGTTCTTCAGAGATGTAATGTTTAATAGATCATTCTCAGTCTCCCAGCAGTGTAGTCTTAAACATAAGTCGGTCGTTTTGACTTTTGATAGATAAGGATGAGTTGGCCTCTTAATGGTTTCTCTGGAACTAATTGGTTGCTCTTTTGGTTGTGGTGGATGTTCCCTGTACCAAGAGCTGCTTTCCAGCCGTGGAGATGTTTCGGACCGGATGAACCTCGCTGATCGGTTCCCCTCCACCGAGTTCCAGTCTATAGGAAATCCCACTGTAAACAATTTACATACCGTGTTCTGAAGGAAATATTTGTGTTGGTCCTCGATTGGCACTGTCTTATGAGGAAGAGTTGTAAAAACAACGGGCCTTTCCCGTTCCGTTAGATTTTCCTGAAGAGCTATCCGGTTCACGTGGCGGAAAAGAAATGGCTGCATGCTTATCTCAATTATCTGCTTGTAACCATCCCGTAGTAGGTGTTTCATTGCTGAATAGAAGCGAACAGGACAGCGTATATTTCGCCACCAGTAATCGCTGTTTAACTGCTGACCTGAGACAATTTCGCCTTCAACGCAAGAATACATCGGAATCTTTGATAACTGAGGCTTTAGTTGAACCCTTTTCAAAGCTTCCTGAAAAGGGATTTTGATGGGTTCCATCTGTGAACTGTGAAATGCACGATTTGTTCCATAAACGCGCCAGTAAACATCTCTTGCGTTCACCGATAGATGTTCCCCCAGAGCTTCGATGAATTTCAAATCACCCGCTACAGTAACACCGTCTGCATCATTAACTGCTGCTATGTCAAGGGTGGCGTTTAACCTTAGATTTAAAAGTAAATCCCTGGCTTTTGCCTCACACAAGCCCAGGGCAGCCATTCCTCCATTCTTTGGGCAGCTATCATGAAGAGTGGAGCGAATTACAACCAGCTGAAGTGCCTCCTTGACAGTTATGATTCCAGAAACACAGGCAGCTGCCAACTCTCCAAAACTTTGACCTATAACAGCAGACGGAAGAATTTTCCAGGACTTAAGAAGCTGTGCGGTTGCGTACTGGACAGCAAAGGTGGCTGTCTGGGCAATGCAGCACTCTGTCATTTGTGAGACGTCTTTTGGCGCCATCAGTTCGTCTGCAAGTGACCACGTTTCTCCCATATCTTTTAGTAATCTTCCCACTGTTAAAATAGCTTCTTTGAAAACAGTTTCATATTCCATTAACTGCCTTCCCATGGCATACCACTCTAATCCCTGACCCCCGAACATGAAAACAACTTTTCTATCACTTGAGGTCACTTTGGCGTAAGCGACGAATGTTTGCCAACCAGCGAATTCATCAGCAAAAGCTTCTAGTGAGTGGGATGCTTCGAAAGCGGTTCCAAAGGTAAGTGCTAAGCGATGTGGATAAAGGCTTCGGTGTTCATTGAAAGAGTAACATAAGTTTTCCACAAAATGTTCATCCATTTCTTCAGCGTTGTCTTTAATCCACTCACAGTAGAGATGTGACCGCTTCTTTAGAGCTTTTAAAGAACGTGCTGTAATTGTGATAACATTATTCTTGCGTTTGAAGCTTTCAACTTCGAAGCTTGGCGTTAATGTAGCTTCACTAAGAAAAACTTGCACATTTGACCCACCACAGCCGAATGAGTTTCCTGCTGCCATTCGCTGTAAGCCTTTTACCATTTTCTAAGGCTAACGAATTTGTTTCAAAGTAAGCCCTTTTTCTGCTAACACCTTAATGTTGATATTTGGTACAAGCGTCTTATTTCGTATCGTCCGCAGGATGGCCCTATAAGCTAGCACAGCAAGATCAGAGGCAGATTCTATGTGATTGAGATTAGATTTCACATAGCCAATTCTCAATTTTCTCGTACACTTTGTGGCCTGGTTGAAGGTTGGCCTGGTCCTCTATAGAGTTGACTTCCACTACATCACCACTGAATTATGGTACCTGTCCATGTACTTCGAAGTAATCCACGTCTTCTGTAGCCCCTCTTGGCTGTTCTAGTACGCTTCTTGATAGATAGAAAGATAGATAGAAAGATAGATAGATGACCTTAATTCGGCTAACACGATAAAAGTTACAGCTACAAAGCATGGGGGTTGTATTAAGAATAACAAAATTCGAAATATTGAGTTATGATGACACTAAAATACCAATATAAATGAAATGCCAAGATGCTAATTACTAAAGCCGCTGGTTATTATAAACTATTATTATTTTTTTTAGAGGGCACGGTAACGAGTCCTGCAATCTGATTAGTTCTTTACCCGGTTAGTATTTTCCTATCTCTGCCCACGGGCCACGGTAACGCTTTCGTGAGTCGCCAAGTACATCCCAACTTTCGTTGCCATTTTTCATAAATATATCTCGTTTTTCCGGCTGGGTAGTATTTTCGGGCACACACGTCGATCACTACCTCAAGCCGATAAATAACTTATGTATCCTCTCTTTCCTCTCTATCAAATCACTTTGGTTGACAGAAAAATATTGGTTTCAGAATGAAATTGTATAAGCAATAGTGTCATTACGTTGTATGTGTAACAGGAACAGCTCTTTTCGATTTACACCAACCGTTCTTATCCAAGAAGTCACAGTTATACAGAGAAGAACTTAGATATTTGAATGGAGTTATGTTATGGGCTAAATTGAAAACCATGGCGGATCAGAGCAAACCACGTCCGACCGCCACGACAGTCTCACACCACAGCGAGCGCGCATCTCTGTAATGACGGACCATTTCTATGCAAGGGTAACCACTCAAAGAAATGAACGGCGCACCCCGCCCCCAGGGTCATTCTAAAATTTACATATACGCCTAAACAAATCTATTTACTAGAGCAATATTTTCGTCTCCATTTCAAAGATTAAAAGATTAATGTTTCGCATACTTTCTGAATGTAACAGTCTCTATGGTTGGAAAGTGAGGTCATTAATGAAATGGGGGATGTTCAGCCGGCTTTTTTTATTTCTACTAAAATACATCACCAACTGGAAGAAATGACGCCGTTAGTTACTAGCGTAAATTCTTTCATATATACGTCACCGACTGGAAGAAAGTACGTCGTTAGTTACTGACGTGAAATCTTACATATATTCATCACCGACTGGAAGAAATTACGCTGTTAGTTACTGGCGTAAAATCTTACATGTATACATCACCGACTGGAAGAAATACGCCGTTAGTTACTGGCGTAAAATCTTACATATAAATACTATCGACCGGAAGAAATTACGCCGTTAGTTATTGGCGTAAAATTCAGTTAGCTGAATTAGAAGCAGGGCCTGTCCGTAATAAATTCATACTGTTAGTTTATACGCCAGTTGGAAAGATTTTACCTACGTAACTAACGGCGAGGTCTCGGGTCTTAGCCTTATTATAAAGCGCGCAGGAGGCAACTAGAGCACGAAAGAAGTGTAGGAGGGAAACACGAGACCTGATGAAGTGTTTTCCCTAATCTTTTCGGAAGATGGTCGATAGCAATTGGCAGATAGCATGGCAGCTCCATGTAAAACACGCTCCTTCAACCAATGACAGCGGTAACTAACGGCGTAATTTTTTCCAGTCGGTGACGTATATATAAGATTTTACGCCAGTAACTAACGGCGTCATTTCTTGCAGTTGTTGATGTATATATGTAAGACTTTGCGCCAGTAACTAACAGCGTAATTTCTTCCAGTCGGTAGTGTTCATTCAGTAATTCCATTCAGTCTCTCTTTACGTGCTGTAAGATTTTACGCCTTAGCAAGGATAAGGCACGAATGTTAAAAGATCGAAAAGAAAACACAGTTACTTACCAGGAAAGTCCTCCATAGCTGCCCACGAAGTTTTTAGCAGTTTCAAGACCCCCTGCGTTGAAACTATTCTGTACCCAGAGTTCTCACGGTCAAAAAAGCAGGCAACTAACGGCATTCAATTTAGATATTCGAATGGAGTTATGTTATGGGCTAAATTGAAAACCATGGCGGATCAGAGCAAACCACGTCCGACCGCCATGACAGTCTCACATCACAGCGAGCGCGCATCTCTATAATCACGGACCATTTCTATGCAAGGGTAACCACTCAAAGAAATGAACGGCGCACCCCGCCCCCAGGGTCATTCTAAAATTTACATATGCGCTTATTGTAGTGGTTTCACATCCTGTTCTTGTTTTGTATCGCATACTTTCTGAATGTAACTGTCGCTATAGTTGGAAAGTGAGGTCGTTAATGCAATGGGGGATGTTCAGCCGGCTTTTTTTATTTCTACTAAATGGCTTACGATAAATTATTTCCATTCATTTTCCCAACACTTAAATAAAGTAGAATCACATATACATTCTACAGAAATTTCTTGTTTGATGCCAATTTTGTCTTTTAACAGTTGCTTTTAGCCTCGTCGTTGTAATCCGAACAATTGTCGAAAGAATTTTCAAAACGTTATGCCTGACTTGAATAAATCTACAGTGTTATCGCTTGCTATCAGTTTATGTTAGTCGCCTAGAATTTTGATACTACTACAAAGTGGATTTCAAAATCCTCAAATGATTAGGGGAACAAACAAACAAGTATCAGGCGAATCAAAATAAAGTGTTGGAACAGTATTATTTAGATGCTACGAGAGATTCGACATAATCAACAAATCTATTTACTAGAGCAATATTTTCGTCGCCATTTCAAAGATTAAAAGATTGATGTAGCTCTTTGATTGACTTGGAACCACTAGGGGATTTTTTGTTGAAATAATGTGTGATAAGCACGGAAGAGGAAATTTCCACACGCTCGCAGAAGTTTATGAGGAAATAACCTAGAGCGATTTCATGAATATTTACAATAGTGTCCGGGTTTAAAGCGCGCTGTCATTGGTTGAAGGAGCGTTTTTATTTGAGTAAAAAACATGGAGCTGCTATGCTATCTGCCAATTGCTATCGGTCATCTTCCGAAAAGATTAGGGAAAACACTTAACAAAGTCTCGTGTTTCCCCCCTACACTTCTTTCGTGCTCTAGTTGCCTCCTGCGCGCTTTATAATAGGGCTAAGACCCGAGACCTCGAAAGAAAGACCTCGAAAAGTAAAAGCTTGAAAACTTATCGCTAAACTGTCACTGACTTTTCTTGACCTACTAATCCCAAATAGGAGAGCGGACCACATTACCTTTGTAAGTTTTCCAGATCACAACGGGGTAATTAGGGATATATCAAGTGTTTTGATAACGTAAGCTAGCCACCTTAAAGAGTTTTAAATCTGACGTTTCGAGCGTTAGCCCCTTTTGTCAGCACGAATCTTCGTCAGTTAGCCATTCGTCATTCGCTCCGACGCAGGGCTAACGCTCGAAACGTCAGCTTTAAAACTATTTACAGTGGCCAGTTTACGTTATTAATTAGGTTGATAACACTAAATTACCCTTTAATACTATCCCACCGACGCAGCACCACAGATTCTTTAGAAACTATGATGCTACGTCCCAGTCTGATATTGGATTGTTCCAGAGCTTTATGTTTAAGGACTTTCAATCACTTTGAGTGAATGTCTTGCGATTAATTTCATATTTCAAATTTTGAATTCCTTTCACGTTTTCTAGGTTACCTCTAACATAACTTGATATCTGTATGAATTTGTAAGATGCTTAAATCCTTCTAACAATAGCCTAGTTAATAAATTATAAATAAGCCTCTTCAACATAAGGGCTGGGTTTCTCTCTAATAAAGGAAAAATTCAAGTGGTTAATAATTTAACGGCAAATACAGTCTCTATCGTGTTGTAGAACGCTTTTAAATCGCAGTAGTCGATGAATTCCAAGTTGTAGACTCGTTTAGCAGTTATGACGGAGGCAACTCGTTCCAGGTTACCACTCTGATGGATTCCAACTTTACGTCTGCGGCCGGAGTACTTAAGAGCATTGGACACGAGTCTTCCCGGCTGTACCATGCGAAGATCTGCCATGACAGAAATTACCACGTGATCAACTTATGCTGATAGATTTAATCAATGAAGGAGATTGCACATCTTTGCTGTGTGATATTTCTACCAATCTCGTCAAATAAATAATCGATTAAGAAAGATGTTTTTTTCCGTCTTGTAATGAGCGTGGGACAAAGAAAAAATTATGAGTCCCCAGTTCCCATGAAGAATCCATGTATCTGCATTGAAAATTTGATACCTTTGTGTCTTAGCTTACAAAATATTACTAGTTTAATTACCATTATAATCAATAGGCTCTGAAAGGGCCTGAGTAACCCCTCAAGCTGTATTCGACTTGTAACTGCAGCCTATTATCATAGTCACCTTTGAGGTCGATAACTTTTTTTATTTTCTCCTTCTCGTTTGCTTCTCCTTCATCTGCGGTTGATCTCAACCCGAGTTTATTGGCATCTTCATGGAAGAGTAACTCACCAAAATGAGGCTTTTTGTTACCTTAAATGGAGAGAAAAATTCAAAATCACAAGCAAAATAAAAAAAAGAAAAACCGCCTAGACTTGATAGCATAAATCACCAGATAATAAGAGCATAAAAAATTCACTGGCTCTTTGTCTGTTTTACCTCTCTAGAGACTTGTGTTTCACATAATCGTTAAACACAAATTCCTCTCAATCTTTTCGGACACAAAATGGTTTAGGCTACTGTATTCATGAATCGCGTCTATAAACTTAGCTATGCAAAGAGACTACATAACAAAAGTTTTGGAAACTGTACCTCGTTTTGAATGAAGGAACACATTAACTCCATTGCAAAGTTTCTCCACAGCACGTCTCTGGCTAAACGTTCTCGCAGGTCTGGGAAATTCTGGAAACAACATGCGGTAATTGAGAGCGAGGGCTGTCGCTAGGATACGTCCTGTCACATGGGCATGAGGTAACTCGCTTAAGGAATAGTGATCACCAGGACAAGTTAGCACTGTGGTACCTCCGTCCACCAATTGGCCCCACACTTCTTCAGCGCCCTCGTTTGAGCGAAGCCTGGGAGAGAGGCGGGTGTCTAGGCTCTCAAGGAAAGTGAGAGGACCTCTGTAACGAATCTAAGAATGAAGAAAAAAAGGGAGTAAGTAGGATTTCCCTTCTTTGACTGTCATCTCCCACACTTAGGAGAGCGCTGTTTATCTCCTACGTTACGTGATATTCTATAGGTCGATTGTCTTTGAGGCCAGGGCATAGCTGATTCCAAGTGCACCAAGCGGTCTAAGGGGGCTGGTGTAACTTACCACAAATAATCCAGAATAACACTCACATATTGCACACTCACTCTGGCTTACTCTTTGAGTAAACCCACCGCCCTCAGGGATACACTGCAAGTGCTAATTCAGGTTTCAGTGGTGTAAAGCGTTCCATTCCCGGGCCCAGTTGTACGAAGGCCGATTAGCGCTAACCCAGGCGTAAATTTTAATCCGGGTTTCCTTATTCCTTTGTTCAAAAGCCCTTCTAGAGGCAATTTTCCCTTTTCTCGTTAGAACATCCAGTGATCAAATTGCAAGCAAAAAGATTTGAACTGCATTTCTTTTAAAGCTTTCAGACCTAAAACCAAATTTTAGACTAATCCTGGGTTATTTAAACTCATCTGTGAAGAACCCAGGCCTGGATAAGATGCTTGCTGCGTACATTTCTTTAGGTTTGATCGGTGAGCAGTTTGCCAGCACATAAAATACTATTGGGTTGAAGGTAAATGAGAACAATGCATCTCCTTTGGAATGAAAGGCTTTAAGCTCAGTTGATTTACCTCGGCTCGTGTCACTATAAGGTGTCATTAAAATGGTCCTTACCTCAGGAGGTCCCCATTCATTGTGTGTTTTACTAGCAAAAATTTGGTCCTTTTGAAGAGACTCAAGAAGAGTCCTTAGATTGTAAGAAACTAGTCCCCTCTCCAAGCTCCTTTTTTGTAGTTCATCTATAATCCAGTCTTGATTGTGACCTCTCGTCAGCTGTTGGTATTCATCCGAAGTCATCTTTAGAGTATCAAGAGCCAGTTTTTTTAGGAAGTTTTCAAACTGAATCTGCAAGTTTAAAATTTATTTGTGTTTTCATTTGAACATCTGCACAAGTCCCGTTTCCCAGTTTATAAAGAACTGTTCGACTAATTTTTATAACTGAATAGATAAATAGATAAACAACCAATTAGAGATCGTAATGTACGGAGACCAAAGGGTTCTCCATTTTAGTTGGTTTGTATTTCTTTGAATAGCATCTTGCAAGATAGAGTGCCACGTTGTTGGATCACCGCAACGAGATGTGCCTCTCGGTTAGATTGTTGATAATTTAATTTGCACATAGACATCAAGTGCTTCGTCTCAGTTAACTGTTTGCGATGCAATATCTTCTGATTTCAAAGAATTGCTTTATCTTTAGTGTAAAGAAATTCATTTTCAAGGGTGACAGGAAGAGGTTCTTAAATGATTTACCTGCTTAAAAAGCATTTTCTTCTCACTTGAAAATATCGGAACATTTCATAAAATGACACAGTGGCTTTTTCCATTTGCTTGGATCAAATTAACAGAAATTAAAGATTTCCCTAAATGTTCCTATTGTATTCATTGTTGATGTTCTTTTTTCCTAGATTGTTTTTTGGGTTCCTAAACTCACCTTAATATGCCGAAGTTGTTGCGAGGTTCTTTCATCTTGCGTGGAGGCCAGTCTAGGGCTGACTACCCGCGTTAGTGGAGACCAGGGAAATGTATCAATCATAGCCACAAACTCCACCCTTTGATTCTGTTCTGTCAACAGAGAGGCCATTTCGTAAGCAAGAAGCCCCCCGTAGGAATATCCACCGAGAAAGTATGGTCCATGTCGCTGTTCCCTCATGATCAGCTGTACATATTGTCTGGCAAGCTCACGCACTCCACCCCAGTCCTTGCTGACGACTGTGGGGTCAGTAAAGCCCAGGGCATAAAAAGATACCAAGTCCTGAAAAGAGAAATAAACATCACTGAGCTGATACACAATTTTTGATACAAAATTGCGGCACAAAGAAGAACAAAAGAAAGGTAGAATTGGCTAATTAGAAATTGGCCATTAATGCTCCGAGGACTTATTCCTTTAACTGCGTTTATGAAGTTAACGGTGAAAACTTAAGCCAGGCGTAGTGGCAATTCATGGTTATACTGATATCCACAGACGGTGAGTGGGTGGTATTAGTAATATTCTGCTGGGTATTTACCTGTCCTTGAAACCCGTTAGAGATTGGAACCAAACTTAAGGCATAACGATGCGACGGGTGGACGCAGAAAAACTTGACAGCTGCGCCAGTGGGAGTGTACAGCGGTACAACTTGTATTTGATTTCTTGAAACGTCACCAGAAATAGAAGAGTTTGCATCTGTTTGCGGAGACTCACTTTGCCGACTCTCGCTGTGCTCTGGTTGTTTGCTTGCAGACTCTTGTTTTGTTGTTTGTCCACCAAGCTTTACAATGATGTCTTTGGCCATCTTAAGTGAAGTGGTATCGGGCTGCATAAAGTAGAAAACCTGAAACAAGAACCTCTTTTAGAATTTTTGTTTGTTCCTTCAGTCAAATATGATGAAGAGTTACTAGAAAATGATCTCTGTTTCAAATTGCAGTATTAAGCTGGCTTTTTTGCTGTTGTTGTTGTTGTTGAAAATTCGCAACTAGTACTTCTTGTTTAGGTCTATTTTGGGAGACCACTTTCTCGTTATTGCATAGATTTTCGTCGGTTATTCTTCTGATAAAAATGAATCAAAATGATTGTTATAATTTAATTAAATTAGTTTCTGTCAATAAACTATTTTCTTGTCTTTGTTTGCCGTACAATGGCGGCATCCATTGTTCTCAAAGCATGCCCTGATAATCAACATCATAAAATTTGAATTTAATAGATAACGTCAGTGGTTATTAGGGTCTCTTCATGGCTTCTTAGTTATGGTGAGCCTTACCAGTGTTCTCTACCTTTTTTCCCGTTACAGCCTTTACACGATAATCAAAAATTGCATCTATCGATCTTACTATTTAAGATTCATGGGCGACCTACCTCAAAAGACACCTGCAGATTTGATTCAAGCTGCATTTTCAAGGTCAGGGCGGCAGTAGAGTCTACCCCGTAGCTGTACAAGCTTTTGTTTAAGTCGGTTTCAGAAGGTGAGGAAATTCCGGTCCATTCTGTGACTAAGGTGGCAACGTACTCATTCACAAGTTCAGCCCTCTTTTCTCCATCTTTCTCGAGAATAATCCGTTGTGCTAGTGACTCTGTTGAACCGTTCTGGCTTTCAGAGCCACTGATTTCAGAAGTTATTTCCAAGAGACGACGGCTCTTCCTTAGTCCTGTATTACTTTTTATGAATCGAGGCCAGTCTGCGTCAAACAGGGAGATCTGGCAGCGACCTGGATCTTCCATCAATACTTTAGCCATGTGTTTAACTCCTGCCAAATGGCAAAGAATTGATCTCGGCCCGTTGTACTTATGGATCAATACAGCTAATGTCATATTGTGGCTTGGGGCGAGCCAATGCAAATACAATTCTCAATAAGCTCAAATGTGAGGGTACTTGAGTACCTCCGCATGAAATTAATATTTTATGGTCAATACCATCTAGTCATACTTGGTACGTGACTCTCTAGGTGTACGTGGGATTTTTTGACTCCTACAATTGGCCATACTAAATGTAAAACGGACAAGGATTTTAGGAAAATATAGCTACGGCAACTGATCGGGATAAACTTAGACATGCCGTTACATTAAAGATGCAGCAGTTGGTGTTAACAATTTACACTGAAGTTGCTTAACGGTCTTTGAAGACTATTTTTTAAGAATATGATGATTCTCAGAGTTCTTTCTATAGTTTCTTGTAATACTTAAGTGAAATTTCAATTTACCTTCTTTGGCATTTATAAAGCCCAACCCCGCCATTGTCAGTAATTTAGCGACACCTGCTTCTCGCTCCATTACTCCTGCACCACTGATTGGTCCCCAGTTAATAGCCAGTCCTGGAAGACCCAGCACATGTCTCCGGTACTGAGCCAGTGAATCTTGGAAGGCATTGCAGGCAGAGTACGACGATTGGCCCATATTGCCAACAATTGAAGCCATGGATGAAAACATCACGAAAAAATCTAGATCCATCGACAAGCTCATTTGGTGAAGCAGAAACGAACCTAAAATTCGATGTAAGAAATATGAGTCGATAGTTTGATTGATAGGTGAATAATAATGTTGATAATAAAGGTATGATGATAATTGTAATATAATGTTTTAATCGTAGCTTACCTTTGATCTTAGGGCCCATAACCTCATGAAAGCTCTCAAACGTCAGATCTTTGATGAATTCGTCTCTAAGGACCATAGCAGTGTGAACGATTCCGGCCACAGCTGGAAGAGAGTTTATCTGTTCTTGTAGTGAAGTCATTTGGTCAGAGTTTGATATGTCAGCCTGTGAATTGAAATAAAGGAGTTTAAGAATTGTGCTACACTCTCCGCTCCTGTTCAAAAGAATAATAAAGAAACTAACTTTCATCTTACAATCAGTAAATATTCAATCTGTCAGTTTTTCTTTTAAAGACAACCATTGCGTTGAACAATTGCTTTTGTGGTATCTTTCTTAATAAGAACTGATTTGAAATAAAATGTAGCCTTCATTGCGTACCCCCTCTTTCAAAAATACTCTCACTCACTATCGAAACAAGTTTTTATCTGAGAAATTTCAAACTCAGGGCAAATTCATTTGCATACAAACTTCGACTATTGCAGGAACTTGGCTGATAACTTACCCGAAAGGTGTGGATTTTCGCGCCAGTCTTCCTCTCAAGCTGTCGTATTTCAAGTAATTTGGCATTAGAAGGCTTAGAGCGACCAATAAGTCCTATTGATTTCGCTCCATTCTCTGCCATCCAAGAAGCTACTTCGAATCCAAATCCTCTCATCCCTCCTGCTATCAAGTACGTTCTATTTCCTTTTAAACCACACCCATCTAATCCTCGCGAAAGTATGGGGATGCCCTGCAGACTGTTCTCGTCAAATAAACCAAATGAATAAATAACTATTGGCATTGCTGCAACTGACTTTATTTGTGGTCGACAATTCTGTTGGGGAATTGATGCATTTGAAACTTTGATGGAAGCGCTCAAGTCCAAAGAAGTAATTTCCATCTCCTGAAGTTTTTCAATGGTTCCTTTGCTATTCAGTATCTTCATACTTTCTGAGCTGAGTCTCTCGTATACTAAAGGAGTCAGAAAAACATCTGCGATGTCGTCTCTCTCATATTTAACGTTAACGTTTCCATGAAAAACTATGTCTCCATGAAAACTACTACTAAGAATAGTAACTTTTCCTCCGCTCTTAATAGACCGAATGCTTTTTTGAAGAGTATTTGGAGGAGGTGGGTAGAGGAAAACCACTTCGTCAAACGGTTCAGTAGAATCATCATTAAGACTCTGAGAGCTCTGGGCCATCACAAAATCCACCCCCAGCTCCAGAAGAATGGTCCTTGTAGACACTTCGCAAGTGTCGGAAACGGTGCAGAATACTTTAAAACCCAATGCTTTTGCAAGAACAACAGCTGCGAGCCCCATGATACGGTCGGCTTCTTGAATCAGAACTTTCTGATTTTCTTTACCCGGCCCTACTGCCTGGAGGGCTTTTAAGGCTATGGCTAGGCAAGGAGGAAGGAATGTAGCTTGTTCTGTCGTCATCATGATTGGTTTTAGAAATACGTTGTTGGCTTGGATGCAAATAGATCGGGAAACTCGTCCAGACGGAATGACTCCACACACTTCATCCCCAACTTTGAAACTGTGTTTGTTCTCCTCTGGTAGATGTGTTACTTTCCCAACCACGAATACGCAATCTTTTGGTTTGGTTATGTCACTCAGGTTTTCAGATGGTATCCAGCAATGCAGCACCTCCAAAGTGAGTTCGGACTGCGAAGGCTTTGAGACACTCTGGTCACGAAGGCAGATTTTTCCAGACAAAGGCATAGTTGATATGCAAAACGAATTCCTCTGTTCACTTTTGCTGTCATTTACAGTTTTCTTGTCATGCACGTTTGCTCTGATAAGGCGATTTATAAACCGTTTGCCATCTCTGAAAGCCACCTCGTCTTCTTTGCTGTCGCACACAATTTCACTTACCAACAAATCCACATCAGACATGTTTTTCTTGGAGCAAAGGTCAACGGCTGTGACCCTTACATTAAATTCCTCGAGATTGGCGGTCCTTCGAAGACCCCAAACTGTGGAACCCCAGGGAATTGACGTTGCCTCAGTAGACTTGTTACAGGAATCCAAAGTCTGAGTAGACTCAGTAACGAAGAATAAGCGTGGATCCGAACCCCCTTTTTCAAGAAGGAGCTGAAGTAAGAAAACACAGCTACTGAAGGCGAGTTGTTCAGCTTGATTAATGACTTCGAAGCTATCTGGCAGAAAAGTCGTTTCAATAGGCCACATATTGACGACCTTTAGGCTGGACGAATTGCGGGGTACAATGTTCGAGAACGCAGCCTGTATTGATTCTCGTGTTTCGTTGTTGTAGAATCTGTCACTTGGTGGGTCAATTGTGATAACATTGATTTTTTCTTTCTCAAGTTGTGTTACTAAGGAATCTGAAAAGTTGGAGGAGTCCTTTAGGACGATGCAAATCATGTTTTGGGCATTTTCTTGCTGCCTTTCTAGGTTTTCTTCCTTCCACTGTACTTCATAGGCAAGATCGGCAAATGCAAGTTGACGTGGTGAACTTGTTAACTCTGCTATGCGAAACTCAAACATGGAAAGCAAAACTTTTCCAGACGGACTCAGAAGCCTGACATCAAATCTCCCGAACTCATTTACATCCGCGGTAACGTGACAATACATTTGGCTGGTAGTGGGGACTCGGTTCAGTGTGATGCTCTTGAAGCCCACCGGCACAATTGACTTGTCTTCCACTGAAGAACTTCCAAGGGGAACAAAGCAGGACTGAAGACACGCATCTAAAATTGAAGGGTGGATCACAAAGCTTCCTCTGTCTGATTGAATATCCGGTGATTCACTAATGTCTAGCAAACAAAGTCCTTCGTTGTTGCCATGCCAGATCTGTTTGATGAGAGAAAAGTTGGGCCCATACTTAAATCCAAAATTCTCTGTTACCTGTTTGAATCGAACCATCGGCATTTTCTCCTTGTGATCCATCAGAGTTCTTACTGCTGGGGAAATTCCATCGGGAGCTGTTTGCCGGAGAAGAACAACAGAAAGCCTTTATTAAAACTTTATGTCCATGAATTACTATGTGTTTGGGATCAGTTTATACCAATTTATTATAGGAAATAATAGATCGCTTGACACTTCCATGAACGCTTCTTTTAAGACTCTACCTCTGATCCTTGAACAAAAATAAATGAGACAAATGCGTAACTTGACCATGGCTCCCTAAAATCAAATCTATCCCATAACATTACTAACAGTACATCTTATAATCTGGATTTATCATTATTTGTTTCGTAGATTTGATCCTTTGATCAGTCAGGGTTTTCTCTCAATAAGAATAATAAAAAAAAGACTTCCCCCAACCTTAATAAATCCCCCTACTTTAAAATAGAGAAGAGAGAATAAAAATACCTTCACAACCGCACGTCTCTTGTCTGTGTATAAGATCGATTGATGTATTTCCACTACTTAGTTTAATTTCAGACTGATCATCTTGAACACTTGTGATATGGAACGTGGCTTCGTTAACTCTGTCGCTCTTCATAAGACGCAACCTCAGCAAGCGAACCTACCACATAAAATTAATATTGAAGTGATACTAAACTTGTAGTGAGCACACATAGCAATTTATGAGGAGAAACATTTCTTTGATTGATAATTTAGTATCGAATGGAGACCTCTTGCTTATAGCTGTTCACTAGAAGAAAAACTATATATTTTTTTTCAAACGGGTTGACGATTAACTATGAAAGCTATCACAATTTACGACGTTGTCATAAGAATCTCAGTTTTGACTAATTGTAATTCCCTAGGCTTCTGTGTCCTTTTCATTAAGCAGGATTATATTTCGTCCTCTCGTCTCACTCAAGCCGCGTGTAATAATACGTACGTCGAAGTATAATTGGTTATTCAACCCTGCACTGATTATGTTCAAATACCTGTGTATCTGGCAAGGTGAGGAGACTAGAGAGCTTCACATCACGTAGTTCTAAACCAGTAACATCTACAAACTTGTCTTTCAGCATGGCAAAGGCCATCTCTAGGTAAGCAGCTCCAGGCATCACGGTACCTCCCTGAATCAGGGCATGGTCCTTAAGAATTGGAAAACGATGAAGGTCGATCTCAGTTTCCCAGCAATATAGGCCTGAATAGGGGTCGGTCATTTTCACCTGTCCTAGGTAAGGATGTGCCGGCCTTTTTGAGGTCCTTTCACAACTTATAGGAGGGATAATCTCTTGGGGTGAACGCTCCCTATACCAAAAGCTCTTCTCCTGCCATGGGTAGCTAATCGATCGAACAAACTTAGATGATAGAGTTCCTTGAACGCATTTCCAGTCTATAGGGAATCCTAGTGTGTACAACGTACATACAATTGTTTGCATAAAACTCTTATGTTGATCTGAGACAGGTACTCTTTTCCGAGGAAGTGTTGCCACGACAATTGGCATTTCTTCGTCTTTAAGATTTTCCTGAAGAGCAATCTGTTTGACGTAGTGTGCAAGAATAGGCTGTGTACTGATCTCAATTATCTGCCTGTAATCATCTCTCAAAAGGTTCTTAGTTGCTGGATAAAACTGGACGGGGCAGCGTATATTTTGCCACCAATAATCTCTGTCGAACTTTTTACCGGAAAGAAGATCACCTTTTACAGTTGAGTACATCGGAATCTTAGATAGTTGAGGCTTAAGCTTGATACTTTTCATGGCTGCCTGGAAAGGTTTCTTTATAACTTCCATATGTGAGCTATGAAATGCTCGTTTTGTCCCAAGAACACGCCAAAATGTACCTGGAGAATGGGTTTTCAAGTGCTCACCAAGGGCTTCAATTGATTGAGAATCACCAGACACAGTAACGCTTTTCGCATCATTGACTGCGGCGATGTTAAGTGTAGTGCTCAACCTTAGTTCTGTCAGTAACGAACTGGCGTTCTCCTCAGACATTCCTAGAGCAGCCATACCACCATTACCAGGACAGCTTTCTTGTAAGGTGGAACGAATAATTACCAGTTCTACCGCCTCTTTGACTGTTATTGTCCCGGCAATGCAGGCTGCTGCAAACTCTCCCAGACTGTGGCCAACGACAGCAGAAGGAAATATTCTCCAAGACATCAGTAAACGCGCTGTCGCATACTGCACAGCAAATGTTGCTGGCTGGGCGATGCAGCTTTCTGAGATTCTTGATTTTCCTTCTGGAGCTAGAAGCTCGTCTATGAGTGACCAAGTTACCCCTAAGGCTTTAACTTCATTGCTTACGGTCAGAATAGCCTCTCTGAAGACTCTCTCTGTTTCCATTAATTGTCTTCCCATTGCATACCATTGAGAACCCTGTCCACCGAACATGAAAACTATTTTGGAATCACTGGAGTCTACCTCACCATATACTACCGACTTATTCCATCCTGGGGAGTCTTCAGCATAGTCCGCTAAGTACTTGGAGGCTTCACCAGTCGAACTAAAGGCAACTGCAAGGCGGTGGGGATATTGACTACGACGTTCATTTAAAGAGTAGCACATGTCTGCGACCAAATTTCCATCTCGGCCATCAATATGATCTCTGAGCCATTCAGAATAGTAGTGCGCCATTTTCTGAAGAGCTTCCTTCGACCGTGCGGAGAAAGTGAGAACGTGGTTTAAACGTTTGATACTTTCTTCTTGCAGGCTCTTGTGTGGGGTGACTTCTCGAAGGATAACGTGTACGTTTGATCCACCGTAACCAAATGAGTTTACCGCCCCTGTTCGTGGTTTTCCATTTTGTGTGCTCCAGGGCTCACTGGTTTGTTGAACAACAAGGCCCTTGTCTTCTAATTTAAGCTTGGGATTCAGTACATGCACATTAACAGTTGGAACTAGCCTCTTGTTCTTTATCATTAGAGCGACTTTTATCAGCCCAGCAAGACCAGAAGTTGATTCAGTATGATTTAGGTTTGATTTTACCGAGCCTACTCGTAGCTTTCGTTTTAGGTTTCCATTTCCTTTAGTGTAAGTATCAGCTATGGAGGTGACCTCAACTACATCTCCAATTGCAGTGCCAGTACCATGAGCTTCGAAGTAATCCACATCCTCTGGAGCCAGTCCTGACTGTTCTAATACCATTCTGGATAACTGGGCTTGCATCTTTGCACTCGGAGCAGTCATCGGCACAGCATTTTGCCCGTCATTGTTCATACCACAAGCAATGATTTGGCAATATTGATCATCTTTATCGCTGGAGGCTGCACTCGAAAGTTTCAAAATAACTGCTGCAAAACCTTCCCCCCGTCCATAACCATCACCAGAAGCATCAAAACTTTTGCAACGCCCGTCAGGCGCTAAGAGGCCGGCGATACTCGATACCATCTGCATAGCATGGTTGAGAACAATATTCGGTGCACAAACGACAGCTATATCACAGTCTCCACTATAGAGGTTATCGCAGGCTAGTTTAAGTGCAGTTAATGATGAGGAGCACGCAGTGTCAACAGCAATACTTGGTCCTGTTAGGTTTAGGCAGAAGGATACTCTATTGGCAATAATGGATGCCGTCAAACCCGTCGACGAAAACTGGTCAATATTACTATAGTTTGAGGGATCTGTTATAAGAGCCCCATATTCAAGATTCATCACACCAACGAAAACTCCAGTTTTACACCGCTGAAGGTCTTCCAGGAGCAATCCAGCATCTTCAATGGCCTCGTACACAACTTGAAGAAGTATTCTTTGCTGAGGGTCCATTCCACGAGCCTCTTGATTTGAAATACCAAAGAATTTGTTATCAAAGTTTTGTATTTCCTTCAGGTAGGAACCACTCAAGGCACAAAGGCGTCCACTTACAAAGCGTTTGGGGTGATAGAGTCTAAAGAATGCTTCCGCTTCCGCTCTGTTTTGAGGGAATACATCGATCGAACTCTTTCCCTGCTCTAACAAAGTCCAAAATCGATCCTTATCGCTTGCCCCAGGAAATCTGCAACCGATGCCAACGATGGAAATGCCGGGGCGTTTAGAGTTTTGTTGTTTTGCATGATCACCTAGTGAATGCAAGGATATGCCACCTAATTTGTCACTTTGTTCAGGTAGGACATTATAGTTATTCTGATAAATCACGTTGTCCAGGAAATGGAGAAATAGAACTATGATTGGTGGTGAAATAACGAAGGCGTGCATCAGTCCTAAAAGCAAGATCACCGGAACGACTCGATGAAAAATCTCCGATAAAAAGGGATAAATAAACCCTAATGACATAGAACCAGACAACGGAATGAGGCCCGCAACTAACACAGAATAGCAAACGGAGTTTAGTGCTTCAATCATGCGATCTCGCACAGTTTGTTCTGCTGAGAATACAAATGCATGGGCTACTTGAAAATTGAAGTTTAAAGAAAGAACAACTGTAACCATGAGCACGATGAATGAAATTTGGTTCAGAAAAATCTTCCAAAGAGCCATGATGGCTGCAGTTTCTAGCACGAGAGCGCAGAATGTTATGGCCAGGTAGGCGCCGATTCTGAAGCTTGCACTTGAAAGCATAGAGATGATGAATGTTAAGGCGATAGAAATGCCGAGCACAAGGACTGTGTCTTTCTCTAGCCAAAAAATATCATCCAGTTCCAAAAAGGAATTTGAAAATACAATGGGATTTAGGGAGTGCACTGTCGCCAAATCTTTTCTCAGTTTCTCGAGGACTGTTCTATCTTCACGATATCGGTCATGCAACCCAATTCGTAGATGAAAACGAGATGCCAAAATGCGAGGGCTGAGCATTTGATTTTTTAAAACCAAATCGTGACGAAAATACATGTTATGGGGCTCATTAAGGAAGGCTTCCAAACAGTTGTGGAAATCGAAATCCGAGCAGTTTCTATCTTTAGTCTTCGCATAATGGCGTAAGGCTGTCATCCAGCATCGAGGTCTTCCTTCACTGTATGCAGCCTCTCCTAGCATTTTGCAAGTACTAATAACTTCCTTTTGTACGCTATTCTTGGAATAGTCCACTGTATCTGGAAAAACGATGGTTGTGTCAGTTTCTTTGCCAAAAAACTTTCTTTGTTCTTCTCTAAATTTCTCAAAATTGTCATTTTGGTGAAGTGAATCTGTACTTTTCGTTCTTTCGAGAGGCTGTAAGGCAGATACCACACACATTATTATAATTCCGACCAGTACGACAAGCGATAGAGCTTTACCAGCAACTGAAGTCAATTTTTTTGCCAGAACTTTCGAAATATTTTGCAGCCTTTGTGCTGATCTCTTTCGCAATTCTCCAAGATTGGGTAACGCAGACTTCGTATTACGACACCACAAACGGGACGTTTTTAGCTCTTTCATCCTCCTCTCAAAGCACATTAATAAAGTTATTGTTCCTATGAATGAAGCAGCTGAGAGAACTATAAACGCTATAACAGTCATGGAGAAGAAATTGGAAATAACGTTAAAGGAAGACTTGACTGACACTCCTAGAATAATAGCTCCACATAATGCCCAGGATGCAGAGAGAAAACCTGTCCTTGTCACACAGCTACTGACACGATGTTCAAGTGATGGTAGGCGATGTCGTTCCCACTCCCTTAAGATGAGAACTACGTCTGAAGTTGCTTTGCCAAAAAGTAGAAAGGGAATAAATAATGAAGAGGGGAATAGTGTGGTGCATGTCATAGAAATGACGCCTGCTGCGCTAATTAATGGCAAGAAAACTGACGAAATCACCAGGATTATTGTTGCCAGCCAGCTCAGAGTGACAGAAGAAAGGTATGTGACAATGAAGACAAGAGTTACCACTATCAAAGCCGACACGAGCAATGGTAGGAGTTCTGGTTTGAGAATGCTTTTCAAGGCTTCTTCTCTCGTATTAGCGGTTTTGAAGGTAGTCGATACACATTTCAGGCTACTTTCTAAGGACGAGAGGACACTACCAAACCTTGTTTCAAAAATTGAGACCTCCTGGTCTTCAGCAACGTTGGTTGTCTTCCTAATAAAGTAAATGATTCTTAGAGCCTCTGCCATAGCAGTAAATGGAGCTGTCTTGGATTGAAACTTTAGATTACTGAAAATTTGACTGGACGAAGAATTAAATGTTTGTCCGGTGGATAGGACTATGGTAGGGTCTTTCAGCTCGCGGTACAGAATTGACGAAACGTGGCTTAGATTTTCGAAGCGACCACCAGTTAGTTCGAAAGGACCACTGATAACACATTCTTGTTTAGTGATGCTTATCCCTTTTTTAGAAGGGATTCGCTTAAAACACAATTCTTTGTAGCCACTTATGTTCAGTACAGCTTGGTGCACACGTAAGGCATCGTCTAAGCAGCCTTCACTTAAAATATTCTGACCGCGTCTAGGAATCATGATAACCTGCTCTTGGCGCGCATCCAGAAGAGGAAAGAGTCTTGCTGAACTATGTAGGTCTTGCCTGGATTGGCTGTTTTTGGCTATGAAACGCTCCAAAGAGTCGTGCCCGGTACGGAGTCGAATAAATCCCAGGCAACTTCCAAAAATTACTATGAGCCACACTAGGAAGATTACAGTTGATCGTCGCGAGAGAAAAAGTCCGAACCTTTCTAACGCTTTCTCGTAGGAAGCGAGGATTCGATAGGAAATGATTTTTCTTCCTCTTATTAATGCTCCACAGCCCAGGCCTTGCTTGTCAAATTTCACATTACTGTTAACAAAATATAAAAATAAGCATGGTGATTCTATGATTTTCTGTTAACAGCAAAAACCCAAACCGGTTTACACAATAGTGACAGGAAGGTGGCGGCTGTACGCAGCCTACAGTGACGTTCCATTAGCTACTAACGATGAAATAGGTGATCTCCTAACTTTTCAAATTGAAGGGGTAACTACGAACAATGATGATTTAAATAACACTAAGTCACTTTCGCCGTTTTAAATCATACTTTGGCTTTGGAAGAGCTACGTGGCCATTTGCACGCCTTTCGCAATGTTTATAATCTTCGATTCACAAATCTTTATTCCATTTTTTGACTCCTACCTATTTGGTAGTTGTTTGCTCTTAAATACCATCCAAAGACAAATTAAAAAATGTTAGATAAACCATTGAGATCATTTCGTAAGTTTTCTGACGCTTTCCTGCATGGATTTTGAGAAGTTCGATCTCTTTTTCGGAGCTGCTCTGAGTCATTCTGTTTCTAATTGTTTGATTCAGTGATAAACAGTTCATGACTGACGGTGCTTCAATGCTGAAAAATATCACGCCATGAATAGAAACAAAACATGGTTATCAAGATAATAGGGAAAAAGTTTAATTGCATGATTGAATTACAGCAGTTTCGTGTCTGGTTTGCAACCAGTCTTTTCTGATGAAAAAAAAGAAAGTGAAAATGATTAACAAATCAGCTTTCATTTCCTTTACTTTTATATGAACAAAAATTGGTATTTTTCTTAAAGATTCAGGACCATTTTGTCATAAATAATCGTTCCAATCTGTATAATTATGGCTCGCCTTAATAAGGTTAACTGTCAACCTGGTCCTATTGTTTAGCTCAGCGAGAGTATTGCGACTAACGTTAAGCTGATGTTTCAAATGACAACGTCTTTTGTTATTTCTGTCTACAATATGGACATCCTTAACATCATTTAAACTAGATTCCTTCAAATTTTACATTGCCATTTGATTGACTTAGACTAGATTCCTCAGCAACCTTTATGCGTCACTAGTAAAACCTTTTTGTTTGCCGGCTTAGTAGTCAGTTGTTGTTGATCCTTTAATTATTGAACTTTGAAAAGCTTGTTTTGATTTGCTGGGATTTAGATGACTTTCTTGGGCACGTCATATTGTTTTGTTGGTTTAACATCGAGCTCGGTAAAAAAAAAGCATTTCAGACAGTATAAGCAAAATTAAGCGCTTCAGGCTCGAATATAGAACGCCTGCGAATCAACACGAAGAAAAGGATATGAGAAATAGTTTATTAAATACAGCTATTCACCGCTTGCAAGCTGGTTTTTCAACGCATGAACTGACATGAATAAAAAGAATTACATAAGCATAATAAGTAACTTAAAGCTGTCAAAAGAGTGTAAACACAGTCAAAGCTATCGCAGGGAATGACTTAAAAAACGCCGAGTCAAACTTTGTTAAAAGTAGTGCTTTATAAGTAAAAGATCAACGACCTAGATTCTTCCGTAAGACTCACCAAAATTATCTACCTATCAGGAAGTCTTCATATCTAGTTTTGTCAGTCAAAAAAAAAAAAAAAACCCTGACATAAGATAACATATTGTGTGAAGGAAACGTAAAACTTTGTTTTAACGTCTCTGAGGACAGAGGGTGACATAATACGACTCTCTTTGTGAAGGTCCCGTGTTGTTTATTTTATTGACATTGCGTTTTCTAGTTAAATCAGTCCAGATCCGGCAATCTCGCATCAATAATATCACAAATATAGGCGAACGATCTCTTACAACAATTCTCTTCTCTAAAACGGCTTTAGGAATTGTCACCTTATTCTCGAAAGGGACACCAACTATTTGAATGCGTTCATATAGAAACGGAGCAACGCGTTATCATTATGATAATTTTTTAAAGAGCTTTGCAAAGTTTGTCGACTGTATTCGTAATGATTTTGCGGTAGCTTTTGTTGCGCAAATTCAGAAACTTGATAAAGAAACTCGAGTGTCTCTCGATCACCCCTCTACATTTAAAGATGGCTCTGTTTTGAAAAAGTAAGAGTCATATCTGTACTTACCCATATCTAGAAGCGTTTTCGCCGTTCTCTTGCTCCGAAATAGCATCCATGTCTAAGGTATAAGATCCAATACGATGATCGCTTTCCCTTTTAGCTCATCAGCCTGCCAGATGATAGGAATGTCAGAGCATCACGCAATTGGCTTACATATATTATGTGCGAAGTCGTTCAACGCTTCTATAACAACAACGAAAATCATTATGGTGTATCAGTAATAAAACCTCTAAGTAAATGGTCGTTTTCTGTTACGTCATTCAGTTAAAGGACAAGTGCTTACGTTTCTACCCTCACGTGAAGACTCTAAGTTGCATTCGAAGTTTTCTCGACAAACTTCTATTAATTAATAACTTTTGTAATGATTACAATGAAAATCTTTCTGGGAATACGAGACAAAGGGCATCTGGCATTGGAGTAACCTTACCAGGAATGCCACATGTTCACGTACGAAATGCCGAGGAAGAAAGTGCACTATTCCAAACTGGTTTTGAAAGGATCGGTAGAAATTCCAGTCACGTTTCAAGAAAAGTTAATTTCAAATATCCTTTGAATTTACAGAACCTCCTTCAGTTCTTCGTGGGATGGAAGATTCCTTGCGTCAAAGCGGAATCGGCGCATAGACAACACAAATAGCACTCGAAGACCAAATTAGATTCTCTGGCCCTCTGATATCATTAAGATCCATTGATGTTTGGAATCTTCCAAAGACCGATGCTAACAGATGGAAAATTCACTGTTTTGCTAAAATGCGTCCAAAAAACTGCCTGAAAAAATTTTTTCCTCAAAGAAAAGAGACATGTATGCATGACTGCTTTTTCCCTATAAGATAGACATCAATACCTCTATTAATATTGTATAAAGAGATTAATTCCTGATCGTTGTATTGTTTGGTTGAAAAAAACCGCAAAGAATTGACGCTGATTGGGTCGAACAGGAACAGTAAAAAGATGCGGGAAGTTATACAACTCATTCAACAAATGCAAACAATTTCAGTTTCGGAGGCGTTATTGAGAACAATGCCGCTTCCTCTGAAACTTATAGGAACTTGTTTTCAAATATTTTTAATGATTGCAGATATGTGATCTCTGACGGTAACAATCAGACTATTTCAGGAGAAATATCGTAATTTGTCATAAATTGAGTTTCTATAATAACTTTCGTTCTATTTGAAAACATACCGTTAGAACTGACCATTCTAGAAAATTGGACGGAAGACCGTCATCACCTGAGGAGAAGATTATTTTTGGAGATTGGACGTATATGCCAACCCTAACTGCGTGCGTAAACTTTCTTAGTATGGTCTACAGCATTGAGATAAACGTAGATTTTGATATTGGAATTCTCTCCGTGGTTTTTAAGTACGCGAGTGAAGTAGACTGTTAATAGTGAATGTAGGTCACGTTCTTTCGAGTCTTTACCCTCAGCGAGTTCAAACAACGAAACATTTTTACTTTGGTACATTAAATTAATGGATTTAGATGAATAAATTTAGTAAAGGCAGACACTGACCGGAACTTCAAAAAATTACAACTATAATTTCAAGATTAAAGAACCCTGAGTATAGTCACGATGTGAAACATTTACCTTTAGCACATTTGATGATTTGTGTTCATGCGGAGAACGTGTAAACTCGTGCAAATCCTTTCTTTACCATACTAATTCTCAGCTGATTAAGTTTCTTTTCTATCACACTACCATCAGCGGCAGACTGTAACTTTATTTCAGGATTAATTTCAGCGTAGGGGTAATTTTACAGGCCAGAGATTGTAATTATCGCAATCTATCAGTTTACAGTCAAAACTGAATCGCTCGTCTGCTATCAAGGTGAATGATGTCTTCAACCCTTTCACTCCCACGATCTAATTAGTAATTCTCCTTTCTGTCTGCCACATAACTTTTGTAATGTTAGTTCGGAGAATGTATGATCGGATCAACTTATAATTCCCCTAACTGATATTTTTCTTTTTTTTCATTAGTTCTCTCCTCGATATTATATTGAAATTGTAAGGGAAAATTTGTCTTAATCATTCATAGGAGTTAAAGGGTTAATCTTCTGCATCAATGCTCGTTTCTTTTAAACGGTTTTGCGGATTCTAATGAAAAGTGTCTATGACACGAAACCTTTTTGCGTATTTATTTAGCTTATTTTGTGTAAAAACCAATTCGGGTGGAAGAAAAATTTCAAAAAAATTAAAAATCGATTTTCTCGAGCCCTGAAGTGCACTTACGGTTTCTTAAAAGTGTTCCGTAGACCGGCCACGAGTTAGTGAGTGATGATATATAAAGGAATCCGTAAAAATTCTAATTCTCTCGTACTAAGCTAAGTGCAGCGGAGGTTCCCCTTGGTCAGTTCTCTAGAGTTTCGTTGCTGTAGAGTAATTCCCTTAGCAGACCAAAAGCTAGCTTTTGACAGCAGCATCGACAGAATCAGCTGATCACGAGGCACGCTGATTTTTTTGCCGAGAAGTCATCGGGCAGTTTTACTTGAAGTCGCTTTTTTCCTCAAATATTGCAAAGGCAGAGGCTATCGTTCTGATATCGTCGTCGAGAAGGTCAAGCGGAAAACGATTGAGTTTTTTGTCAGCCGATTTATCTCAATTAAGAATTTTAATAGAGAAAAACTTCCTTAGCTAAAGTAACCTA